ATGCTGGACCCACTGGTGCCCTGACCAGCACCTGGTCGCTCTGCTGCAGAGCACAAGAGCTTGAAATGCTGCGACAGAAAGTGGTTTGTTGTATTTCTGTTTTATCAGCAGGGAGAAAGGTGATGATTGCTGAAAATCATTCTGTGGTTAATCTAAGATGCATCAACATTAATATAGTGTTTAGTATGGGAAAAGAAGATTAATAAATACCTTCCAAAAATTGCACCAGCCTGCTTCTGAACATTTGGGAACTCTTCATTTATTTTAAACATTCAAACTGAAGCAGACACAGACATCTTCCAAAATATTAACAACAAACCTTCTAGGATGTCTGCTGCACCTCCATCTCCGCATTTTGTGCTTGCGTCTCTTTCTTCCATATACTTTTGTCTTTTCTGTTCCTCTGCTTTTCGCCTAATTGCTGCTAAGGCATTGATGCTGTCTTGGATTTTTTTTCTCTCTCTGGTTTCCCATTTTTCCCTTTCTGCTTTCTCAGCTTCAAGCCCTCCAACAGCCCAGGCTTCTGCACAGGCTCTAATGAAAACACAAAAGCTCACTGTAATATAGCTATAAAAGCCCATCTTTATAACGAGAGAGAAATTTAAAATAGCTTGCAACGGTGTGAAATAGCTGCAAGAGAAAAAAGCATGTAGCAGTGACAATCCCTTGCACAACAGGGATGCACCTGTGGCTTATCTTGTGTGTGGAACCACAACAAAAGCAACAAAGACACCCAAACGCTGGTGATCACACCGCCAGAGATCTGCCAGGAGTGCTGATCTGGGCTCTGCTTTTCCAGACACCCGGGCAGTTTCTGTTGAAATCGGGCTTTTCCTCTGGTCTACAGACTTGGCGTAAAACAATGCTGTTGAAGAATTAACTCTCATGTGAAAAAAATACATGTGTTCTTTCTAGGTATGTTAGATGTAGAACCCCATAGTATAATACTCTAGTACTCAGCCACCCACCCTCGACAAATTATAGCAGTCGGTCTCCTTTCCCTTTGATGATAATATTGACTAAAAATGGATGAATGATCACTAGCATTTGAGCTTTATTGCTGTGTAAAGAAGATGGCTCTGTTTCTTACCTATCCTTTGGGAAAACTGGTCTGTCATCCAGATACGTTAGTAGCTTTAGTCGAACAATAAGCGTTTTTCTATAATTAGCAATTTTCTTTATGACTTGGTTTCCCATCAAATTCAGCACATGCTAGAGAAACAAGGGAAACAATCTTTAAAGTTGAGTGACAAAACAAAACCCCAATCTGGATAAGCACTTTCTCTGTCACTTCAAAAACAAGTGAATAAAACCTCCTGGGTGTCACAGGTAAGCTACAAACCCAAACACCATTTACCAACGTTTCTTTTAGACCACGAGCTGTTGTGCGCTGACTACACGTCAGAACCAGCTCAGGGGATTCACCCATCCACAGGATACAAACCCTCAGCCGTATTCGGCTTACCAGATTGGGCATGGTCTCCAGGACAGTGACAATACTCGGATCACTCAGCTTGTTGTGGGAAAGGTCGAGGACAGAGATGCTTGGGCATTTTTGCAAGTGCTGTATGTCTTCCACTGTCTGTAGCTTGTTGTGCGCAATCTGCAGAGTCTGCAGGACCTTCAGACAAGCTGTTGGGCAAGAACAGTGCAATGACAGCACAGGTAAGAGGCATTGCTTCACAGAGGGTTTTCTGGAGCAAGCAGAAAACTGCATTGTCACAATAATGGTTTTTGTTGAATTGTGGGCAGCTTTTTTCAAAATTTGTTGTTCTGCTATCTGTGCTTTTTGGCTAGGCCTCCAAAGCTGCTGCTTTCACCCCAGGAGAAACAGCTGATTGTTTTCAGGGTGGTGGCTGGTTTGAATTCGTTTCAAACTAGTCAGTGACACACAAGCAAGAGCTTGTGTTTCATATTACTCCCAACGTACACAAATGATAATGCAGAGGCATTCTTTTTTTAATTTCTGCTGAAGATGGGAATAAACCCTTTAACAGACATAAAAGATTTGGTAATCGTGTCTGCCACTGCCAAAGCACATCGTAACTGTAAAGCAGATGGTGCAACCTGGATTGCCAGCCTGTCTACAACACAGATTAGTACCGACATGGTATTAAGAGGAGAGGAAAAAGCACTTAATTGCCCGAGGTACCCATGTGAAAGTAATAACTATGTCTTTTCAGTTTTCTCATCTATGTAAATTGCCAAATACATAGGTTTGACTCTTCAGTAGAAGCCTTGTGGACTTTGGTAGGGGATACTGTGCAAAATTCCAACATGAATGAAAAACCCCCTTGAAACTAGTGCCATTAACAATAGCTCGGCTCAGTAAAAGCTTAGGAATATGGCCTGGTTGTAGGTTGAACCATGTTGTACCAACAGTTCTTACAGAGATTCTCAATGGTCTTAATGGAGTTGTTACTGATATTGAGGGAATCCAGCTTTTGTAAGGGTTCAAGGTTTTCAATTTTGTTAATCAAATTGAGTTGCAAGTAGAGGCAACGCAACTCGGTCAGAGCCTCCAAATTCTCAATTTTTGTTAAGCCATTGCATTCCAGCCATAAACACTTCAATCCTGTATACTCTTCAAGATTCTCCAGTCGGTCAAATCCTGCAGAAAAAGACGTTTTAAAATGAAATTACATTGGCTGAATACAAGCCTTGGGAAGAGTAAATGTCATTAAACTAGTGCTGCTGAAACAGCCTGTGAGAACACCTGTACTCCAGCTGCTGCCAGTATTCCCACTGAATTAATGGTACAGCGCCCGGCCCGTAAGGGGCAAAACCATATAGGTCCCTGTTCTGGTCTGTATCGTGTGCAACGCTTTAGATGCTCAAATAACACTCGTTGAGAAAATAGCAAAACCAAGGCCAAATGCAGCAGGTAGATTCAGCGTATCCTATTTATTGAAAACGATTCTTATGCTAACCTGAACCAGCTAACCGTACCACGCAAAAACGTGCTCAAAGAGCAGAAGAGGATGATCCGTGTTCATTCTAGCAACTTCTTTTTCTTTCAGTAGTATCTGAGAACACGCAGCAAGTCTTTACCATTGGGTTTTTTCCTGACCATTTTTATTTGGCAGTAAAAAAGTCCCCAAAGCTGGAAAACGGCTGCTTTATGCAAACACATTTAAGAAGAAATACGTATATTTTCCTCTGAATGCAACCCAGACCAGTATTTTAAGACATTTCCCAGAGGCTACTGTTTTGGAAAAAAAAAGTGTCCCTTGATTCCTACTGAGCTGTTGAATGACTCCACAAAGTGAATTAGGTCTATAATCGTTCACTTTTCTACCTTCATCTTGACTCATTTTGTTTCACAACTTCATTGTTATATAAAATTTAATTTCTAATTTGAAAGAATTGTTAGATACTTTCTTTCAGTGAGCCATAAAATAGGTTCTCTGCTAAAACGCTACTTGGAATGATAAATCTAAACAGCCTTGTCCACATCTTACCTTTGTAATGCAAGTAAAGCGTGTCATTTAAGTATGGAGTCAAGTACAGCTTCTGCTGTTTACAGATGTCCTGCAGAATCTTTTTTGTCATTCTAAAATAAGAATGGGAAACAGAAGCAAAACAAAAGATGTACATCAATGTGCGTTCTGAAATCTCTGGGGTTTTAACACATTTCAATGCAACACAATTAACGGTTCTTTTATGCAAGAGAAATAGCTACAGCTTTCAAGACTATACTCCAAACAAAAAAGCAACCGTTTCTTTAGAGTCACTTTCCATTTCTGCCTGTTTGCAGTGAGTTACCAGGCTCTTCTGCTAAAAACCAGAGGGTATGTAGGAAAGTGGGTGGGGAATCAGAGAGTGCATCTTCCTGGCAAAGAGCAGCGTGATTCTACGTTAGATTCTGGTTCCTTCCTCTCCAATTCTTTCCTCCGTTGCTTGCTGCTTTGGTGCAGGACCTCTGGTGGCATAGCTAATATGCAATGTTTTTCTCAGACTAGAAAAATCAGTAGTTATCAACCTAACATTTTAATGAAATGCCAACTCTGAAACAGCACTCGGGACAGTTTTAATATACAGCTGGGATTGGCTAGGAATGCCACGGTAAGAAAATGAGTAATACCTGGTCAGTTGTAATTGCTTAACATTCAGCTCCACTCCTTTCGGGATTTATGCAAGTGAGAAGCAAGAAAAGGCTACTCAGGGAAGCTGTGGGCTGCAGCTGCACAGTGCCGGGGCAGAGGACTCGGTGAGAGGCGTTGGGCAGAAAGCTGCAGTGTGAAACAGCAGAGGCTGCAGGGGCAAAGCACTGGGGCTGGCAGCCCAGCGCGGCCACGCGCGGCCAGAGTTGCAGACAGCAGGACAGCAAACCCTCACAGTGGCGAGTAACCACATGGGCAGCCTGAAAGCTGTTAAACCAGAAGTGGATGGCAGTGAGGTGCAGCTGAGGGGATGAGTTACGCCGTTGTCTGGGACCCTGTGTGAGGCAGCACTGCATCGACAGATTCAGAGACTTGGCAGTCCCCTCGCAGGGACTTTGCGAAGGACAGGACACTGGTTTTGGAGGCTGGGTGTCCAGGGCTACATAAAATTTCATAACATTATAGACCAGCAAGTCATGAACCCATCAGGAATACACTGAACAAGAACACTCCAAAGCAGAAAATATCTCTATCTTCCTGCTTAGAAAGATGAGATTCTCTAAAACAAAACTGCAGAATAGAACTTCTAGTAGATATCCCTCACTTAAAAAAATATTGCAAAAGTACAATGTTAAATGATCCAAGATTATTTTCTACTTCTAAATTTCGTATTAACAACTTGAACTTGGCATTTGTGGTCATAAGTATTTGCAGGCCTAAGGTCTGTAACAGTAAGGTTTTCTTGGCACAAAGGTCTTTTCAAAATAATGAAAAAACTTGAGTAAAGGCAATGAACTTAAATCTTTGATAATGAGTTTGCTTTTAGATGTATTTACTTTCCACTTACTACACTAACAGTCTCAATATTGCTGAAGAACAAAACTGTAATACAGGCAACGAGCCAGCTGAGTTCCTGGGGCAATATAAAATACGATTTTCAGCCTGTAACTGCCCTGTGAGCCAAATGTGCCTGACATAAGAATGAAAGATTTTCAAACTTTGAGCGAAATCTTTAAATATATACTATTTTCTTGTATTGTCAGCCCAGTTACATTATCGTATGCTAGCTGCTTGCAGTATATCCCACTGTTTTTCATTGTAGCATTTAATCAAACTATTAGCATCCTCAGGCAATGTACAGGATCATAAAATGTGTTCCTTCAAAACACTCATTATCTTACGTGCAGTTATTGCTTTCTGCCATCATTCTTTATAAGAATTTAATCCTGAAGCGTGCCAGGCTGATCAGCCTGGGATAACGAAGTTTTCTATGTAAGTGCAGTCAAATCTACCTCCTGATAATTCAGTGAGAGTCTCTCCCTTGACTCTACGGTACTGTAACTGTCTCTAATAGAACAGTTATGTTAAAGTTAGCAGCAACACAAACTTTGGGAAGTTTCACAAACACGTAAGCAGGTACAGGAATGGAGGGTAAATTTCCATTGTTCCTTATATATCACTCCATAATTAGCCCACATGACCAGACTTTCAACAATGTTATTAAATAGCACCAAATATGGTTTTTAATTTTATTATTTGCTTGCAACGTGCCTAACCTAAGATAACACGAGAATAATCCCATTTCACAGCTACTGATGAAGAGCCATTGCAGTGTGTGCTGGTTTAGGCTGGACCAAAATCAGAGCCAGAGCTTACAAAGGACTTGCATCTTACTGTTCACCAGCTGAGGTACCTCTGGGTTTCCTCTGCTAAAAATGATCTTGACAACAGTAATATTTACATTGTGATGAATTAATACAATGCATGGTCCGAATTGATGCTGAGAAACAGTACAGTCTACTGCCAAATGACTCTCGCAAGAGTTTGCACAATTTTCTCCACATCCACTAAATCGCCTACATCATGTAGGTAGAATGTAGTTTGATACTGCAGTCAAAAAAAAAAAAAAAAAAAAAGCAGATGCTGGAAATATCACCAATTCCTGATTTATCAGCTATTCTCAAATTCACCTTCAAAATTTTCTCCTGAATTAAAATCAACATGTAGAATAGCAAGGTTCCCATTGACTCCAACGATGCCAAGATGTAAATAAAACGCCTCCTCAGAGACTGTATTACCTTACACAGCCCCTCTTTTCTTCTGTCCTTTGACGGAACGAGCTGGTTACTGATTCGGGATCGCCATCTGATTTTTGTTCGTGCTGTTGACCTGCTCTGGACGTACAGCTGATGGCTTTCTCTTGAGTTTTAACATCTTTGTGAGTAAGAAAACAGGTTGCAGTTTAACAGTGTGGGTGGAGCAAAAGTGTCACATTGGCAATTACTTTAGTGAAATATTGAAGGGCGCTTGAATATTAATTTCAAGAAAAACACGCTAATCAGATTTTTGCTGACATTTTTAATGAAAGAAATTTAAGTTCTTTAGAAGGCAAAGTGGTAAAATAAGTAGTAGTAAGACAAATTGTTGAAATTTGTGTATTTTTTTTTAGATCTGGAAGTCAGGTAGTACCCACTAGTATTAAGATTATTATAACGTACAGTGGCAATAAAGTACTGGCACCAATGTTCTTACGGACTTAGATAGCTACTATATATGAGATTTAATTAACAATAATTTGATTTTAGCAAGGCTGCTAACTTTGCATGTAACAGCATATCTGGGTCAACTCAAGCACTGTCTGTTAGTCCAGCTCTTCTACAAATTTACCCTTCTGCACTCTTCGGAAGGTGTCTCCAGTGCTGTAGTCATTCAAGCCATCTTTAGGCTGCCTTTGATTAATTGCATTTTCAACACTCTTCTCTTTAGGTTCTTGCTCTGCACCTTCTAGTTGCACTTGTAGTCCGTACACTTAAAAAGAGACAGTGCAAACAAGATTATTTTACCACTTAAATGTAATCAAAACATTGAGAGGTCAGGCTAGCTGTATGATTGCAACACAGGAGAAGATACCTCTCCGGGTAGCAGAAGATTAAACAAACGGGAAAAAAACAGGCACAGCAAGATAGCAACTGAGCAAGCCTCAGTTACGGCGAGATTTTCAGTGACTTCAGCGGGAGAAAGAATAACCTCCTGTTGCATCCAGACGAGCAATGACAGACTGGATTCCTGTGTTCACAGAAGCTCCCCACGCCCACCCTCGCGCGGCAGCTGGAAGGGCTCACCGGGGCTGGCAGCACGGCCTGCGTTCCCCACGTGGGCAGCTCCATTCCCAGCGTCGCTCGCAGGCTCTGCTGACACCCCTTGCGCAGCAACCCCCTCTCCAAGCCCCTTGTCGGCGTCTCCGTTCTGTGACTGCATTTTACGGCGGGCGGTTTAGACAACCATTCGCCAAGTCGGTATCTGAGTAACCCCCCAGCTTCCAGATGAGACGCCTGATGGCGTTGGCAGGAGAACCTGTTGCAGACAGAAAGACCACAGGAGTAAAGCACCAAGCCCGCACCGCGGGGCCAGCCGCTGGGGAG